GGGGGAGGTCTGATTTTGAGATAATACACAATTATTCCGTGTTCGAGACGAGCATTTCTGGAAGAGCTGAAAACATGGAGGGCAATTTCTCCCACCCAATAGGTTTGGGGTCCTCCTGACCTGGATAGACCAGGGTAGCCCAGTCTCTCCAGATCTTAGAAAGTAAGCACAGCTGGCCCTGTGTAGTCCTTGGCAGGGGTCATTTCCTAGAAAAAGAAAGAGGCGCAGGAGCTCATTAGCATAACTTATTAGCATAACTCATTTGCATATGCCACACACCCCTGACATCACCGGAAGTGTGTCAGAAGGCAACACCCACCGCTTAGGCTCCACTGGACTGCTGTTTTGGACTGACTGGGGGGGAATGCACAGATCTGTCCTCACAGAGGAGGGAGAACTTGTACCTGAAGGCGGGCTGGGGGGCTCTGCAACTTACCTGGCTGCTTCTTGCTCCAACTGAGGGCTGCTGGGAGCAGGGGGCGGGGCTTGTTGCGTGTGCCTGTCCCCTGGGATCCTTACTGCCGGAGTTCCGCTCCTGTGCGCTCCCGCAGGAAATGACCCCTCGTCCTTGGATGGGAGACCACCAAGGAAGCCCAGGGTCACTCGCTACGCACTTGCCTTGAAAACCCTTCGGGGTCCCCATGAGTGGGGAACTGCTTGACGGCGCGGATGGAACGGAGGGATTTGAAATAATCGTCGTACTTATCTGACCCTCATCAGCTGCTTTATTATCGGAAATGAATGCATCCCGCAGGCTGCCCTGATGTTTTGATGCCGGTCCAAAAGAGGCTGATTGCGGAGAAATGCGAAAGGGTTAGGGGGGGGGCGTCTCATGCCCTCCCTCCCGCCACCCATTTGTTATCCTTTAACAAGCGCTTGGGGTGGGTGGGGAGACCCAAAAGAATAGACCAACTATTTATTTGTTTGTTTGTTTATTTATTTCCTTTTATTTTTATCCCGCCCTCCCCGCCAAGGCAGGCTCAAGGCGGCTTACAGAAAAAAGGTTGCATAGCTGGAAGTTGTTGTGGGAAGGGAACAGGCAGGGGGGGAAAGGAGAGGGTGGGAGGAGACAGGAGGGTCGCCAGCTCTGCATTGTGAAATTCATGGAGATTTGGGGGGCGGAGCTTCCGTCAGGCCCGCTCTGGAACTGGCCCTCTCCTGCTTCCAGTTCTGCTGCTGCTGCATCACAGCTTCCTTCGCCAGACTCTCTCAATCGCTCAGCCATGTTTTCCCCCTGGGTCCTAGACTCAGAACTCTGAGCGTGAGATTTCTGTGGGGAATGTCGATAAATCAAAAGTAGGTTGGCAGCAGTGTTCCCTCTAAGCAGAGTTAGTGTGAGCTAGCTCACAGTTTTCTAGCCTCCAGCTCACAAGTTTTTGTCTCAGCTCAGGAAGGACGGCTCCAGAAGAGCAAACTAGTTTGTGCAGGAGCCAAATCGCTCGCTCGCAGCTTTAATGCCAGTAGCTCACAAAGCAGAATTTTTGCTCACAAGACTCCACAGATTAGAGGGAACATTGGACTTGGCAGCTGACAGAGACACACCTGAACGGTGTACTCAGGATTGCAGCAGCACAGTCAGTTATCAGAGACTGCTAAATAAACAGAGGCTGCGGTCACACGGAACATTAGCCACGCAAGAGAGACGGAAGACAGGCGGATTTTCCGGGCGCGAACTCACCGGCACATCTGGGAAGCGTAGCGCTTCCATGGCACAACCAAGGCTTCCTGCCGAAAACACGCAGCAAAAAACTAGTACCTTGGAGGTACTAGTTTCCGGTGGCATCCGGCGCCCGCCCATGTCCCCTTGCGAAGAAGGGTTCCCCCCCCCCAAGTCTCCGTGGATGCGCACACGCACCCAACGGAGCATGCGCATTCGTCATGTACACAAAAAAAGAAAACCAGTTTGCCGCACCGCGCGCTTCTTCATTACGCGCAGGCGTGTCCTGTGATTGGCACCTCTCCCTACCCACGGTACCTCCACAGGAGGTCTGATCGCTTAACCGCGCATTAGTTTGCCCCGGGGCAAACAGCCACGCTTCCCCCCCGCAGTTTCCTGCCCGTGTGACCAGAGCCAGAATAGTGCAAGAGGGATCATGTTTTAAGCATGTTTTTATTCTAAGTAAAAAAAAATCTTTGTATTTGTGTCCTTTTATAAAGTTTCTATCTTGGCTACCGGGCACTACGTTTTATGACATACACACGGCCCAAGGGCCCGACAAGGTCTCATTTGTGTCAGATCCGGCCCTCATAGCAAATGAGTTTGACACCCCTGCCCTAGAGTCCACGTTCTCCAGCAGCTGGAGACTAGTTGTAATCCTGGGAGATCTCCAGCCACCACCTGGAGACTGGCAACCCTAGCTCAGAAGTGAAGGGGTCAGGAAGGAGGACTCAAAGGCTCCCCTGGACCTCCGTTGCAGGAGACGACAAGTTCTTTGCCAAGACCAGCCCTGCTTTGATCGGCCTCATCGAGAGCATCATCAGACAGGTGAGAAGGCCACGCCCTCCTCCACCCAGCTTCCTGGCGCTGGGGAGGGTGCCCGTCGGAGGGGCACAGGGCAGCGATTCCAAAACGGGCAGAGGAGGCGGGAGCTGAGGCGGGCGGGGCAGCCGGAACAGGCCTCCTTGGTTCTCTGGACAGAGGCGGAAGGGCTGGACATTGCTGCTACGACTTGGGCAGACCTGCGAGGGGCGGTAAAGGCTCCAGGCTTTAGATGCTTTGGCTTCCGGGGCAGAGGTTGGTTTGAGCAGAACAGCTGTTCCCTTGCCTCCCACGCCTCCCACCCTCTCTTCTGCAGGTGGACAGTCCAAACCGCAGCGACCAAAGTATCTTTGACCAGGTGACGGAACACGGCCAGCAGTGGCAGAGCGAGGTGTAAGAAGCCAGGGCCTCACCCCCTTCTCCTTCGATGGCCAACCACCCACCTCTCCTTTATCTGAGTCTGGGTTGACCCCACGGTCGATGTTGGGGCTAGAACTCGGAATGCTGCCATAATGCTAAAGGGAAGAGTGCCCCTGATCATATGCAAAGTGCACCCTTCACTACCCAGAGCCAACTGCCACCAGCAAGAGGGAAACCCCCCCCGCCCTGTGTAGTATTTCCCTGTCTCCCTCTGAAAAGACTTTTTCGACTTTCTTTGCCCCAGAATCCGTCCTCTTCCCATGGACAGCAGTGCCTTCGCCTTCACCGCATTTGGGGGGGTCCCTGCGGTGGAATTCTCCTTTGCAGAGGTGAGTTCTCCCCCTCCTACCCCTTTCCAGCTTTGTTTTCTTCCTGGAAGAAAAACAGGGCTTGAGTGTTGGGACTTTGGAAGCTAGATTGGAGTCCAGGGGCATCTTAAGAGCATGGGAGCATAAGAGAAGCCAATGTTGGATCAGGCCAGGAGCCCATCCAGTCCACCACTCTGTGTCCCACAGTGGCCAAAAAATACCAGGTGCCATCAGGAGGTCCAGCAGTGGGGCCGGGACACTAGAAGCCCTCCCACTGTCGTCCCCCCCCCCAAGCACCAAGAATACAGAGCATCCCTTGCCCCAGCCTGAGACTTCTTATCTATACCTTGTGGCTAATAGCCACGAATGGACCTCTGCTCCATATGCTTATCTAATTCCCTTTTGAAGCCGTCCATGCTTGTAGCCGCCACCACTTCCTGTGGCAGTGAATTCCATGTGTTAATCACTCTTTGGGTGAAGAAGTACTTCCTTTTATCCGTTCTAACCCGACCGCTCAGCAATTTCATGGAGTGCCCACAAGGAGTTCTTGTATGGTGAGAAAGGGAGAAAAGGACTTCTTTCTCTACCAGCTCTATCCCATGCATAAAGCAGGTTGAGAAAGAAGTACTTTTGGAGTCTGAAAAGACGTTTGGGGTCTAAGCCATGGCTGCTGCCCACATCCCATTGGCGGGAGGAGGAGGAGGCAGCGTGGGTACCCTGATCTGGCCCTGCCTGCCACAGGTTTTCCATGCGGGGAAAAGAGCCTCCCCCTGCAGTGAACTCCGCTCCTGCACACAGTTAAAGCCAAAATTTAGCCTGAACTCAGTGATTCAGGCTTCAGCTCTTCTCTTTCCCCTTTTCCAAAAGACAAGGAAACGTGAACTCTTTTCAGTGGTGGCGCATCTGGAGCCAGAATAAAGAGGAGGGCAACGGAGATGGGCACGCAACCCCAGACAGCGCCAGGAATAAGCAAGGGCATGTCAGGGACTTCCCTGGCTCCACAGCTGTGGCTCTCTGGCCTAGGACACATGCCCAAGATGACACGAGGGGGCAACCTGTCTTAGCCTCCCCAGAGCTTCACTCCTCTCCCTCCACCTCTGTCTGGTCAGAAGAAGAAGACGGAGAAGAAGACGGAGAAGAAGACGGAGTAGAAGACGGAGTAGAAGAAGAAGAGGAGGAGGAGGAGGAGGAGGAGGAGGAGGAGGAGGAGGAGATTGGATTTATACCCCGCCCTTCACTACCCAAAGAAGTCTCAGAATGGTTCACAATCTTCTTCCCCTCCCCCTCCCCACAACAGTAACCCTGTGAGGTAGGCGGGGCTGAGAGAGCTCTTTTGAGGACTGCTCTTGAGAGCACAGCTCTTGTCAGAACTATGGCTTGCCCAAGGTCTTCCAGCAGCTGTGAGTGGAGGAGTGGGGAATCACCCGGTTCTCCCAGATTAGAGTCTGCGCACTTAACCACTATGCCAAACTGGCTCTCTTTGCTCGCAGGAGTCCCGCCCCTACCCCTTTCTGAACACCATGGCCGACACGTACGACAACCTCAACCGCGCGCTCCACGGACGCCTCCCCGCTGTGGTCAAAACCATGGCTGAGGTTGTGGGCCACCTGTTGATGAAGCTGACCCACGACCACCTCCTGCCCCTCGACTACGGATGCTACGGAGATGTCCTCTTGCAGCACGTCACCCGCTTCAACGAATACACGGCACTGCTGAAGGTTCGGAGCTGAGGTCTACTTGGGGGGAGGGGAAGGCGTGGCGAAATCTGCTAGAGGAGAGGAGAGGAGGGGGAGAGAGCTCCTCTTAGAAGACAGATCCCCGATTAAGGCTTTGACCCATGCAGCCCCATCAGGGCAGCCGTGACACTCCTAGGGAAACGGCCTACCCGAGGGGTCCCTGACCTTTTCGAGCCTGCAGGTGGTGAGTGCTAACCTAGAATGGGTGCCATGGGAGGTGGAGCCAAATAGAATACCTCCCTTTTCCTGGGAAGAAGGAACAACTGAAGGGGAAATGGAATCACACGTTAATGAAGAAAAGCCCAGGGGCTTACCCATCCTCTTGACCAATGTTCCCTCTAAGCTGAGTTAGTGTGAGCCAGCTCAGTTTTTTAGCCTCCGGCTCACACATTTTTGTCTCAGCTCAGGAAGGAGGGCTCCAGAGCAAACCAAATTCATGCAGCAGCCAAAGCGCTGGCTCACCACTTTAATGCCAGGAGCTCACAAAGCAGAATTTTTGCTCACAAGGCTCCACAGCTTAGAGGGAGCCTTGCTCTTGACCCCCCCAAACCCCCCCCCTTCTGTTTGATTGAGGACAGCCAGTAACGAGCCGGGTCTTAGAAGGGCCCTGCTGAAAAACTGGGTGGGGGCCACGGGAAGTACTGGTGGGGGCCTGTCCAAGGGGAAGCGACCGGTGGTGAATTCACAGACTCGACAAGGGCATCTCCACACGGTCTCTTTATGGACTCCTTCCTGAGTCCAAAAGCATGCGAGAAACACAGGAAGTGGGCCAAGGGAAAGTCACTGATCTTCCCCAACTGGCATTCCCCACCACCACGACCACTGCCACATCTTCTGAGGGTCTCACTACCACCCACCGGCAGCCGTTCAGGTTAATGGACCCAAATACCTGCTGTACTAGCAGCTGGGCAACGTTATGGGCTCAGTCTTCAGCAGTGGTGGGGGGGGAGTGTCTGGTTTTGATCGCACCAAATGGGGGGGCCTGCAGCGTTGCCCAGCTCCGCGTACTCCCAGCGCCTTCCGCCAGGTGGCACCCAGCTCTTGGACGTCCCTCCTTGTAATACTGCAGTGCCACCTAGCTGTGCAGCTGCGGCCCTGAAGGCTCCCCCTCCGTTGACATCTAGGCCAGAGCCCGGTCTGGTCCCGCATCCGGTTTCCACAGCCGTCGAGATCCCGTTCTCCCCAGGAGTCCCACAAGCCAGGCACGGAGGACCACACCTCTCCCCTCTTGTTTATGCCCTGGTAGCCCACCTGTGAAGGGCTCCTGCCCATGAACTTGGGAGCTCCTTTCAGAGGGCAGCCCTGCTGGTCTGTGGGAGAACACCTGGATTTGAATCCAGCAATGCCCCGCTAGAGGCCCAACAAGATTTTGGGGGGCAGGAGCTTTCAGGGGCTCTGAGCTGCGACGGCTGAAGAGAACCTCCAAGTTCATCTAGATTCGAATCCAGGAGCAACTCAGAGACCAAAAAGATTTTCGGGGGATGAGGGGTCTGGAGTCCAAGTCCTGTGAGGAAAGGCTGAAGGAGCTGGGGATGTTTAGCCTGGAGAGGAGACAACTGAGAGGTGATACCTCTTCAAGCACTTGAAGGGTTGTCGTATAGAGGATGGTATGGAGTTGTTTTCTGTTGCAACAGAAGGTCGGACCAGAACCAACGGGTTGAAATTAAGTCAGAAGGGTTTTCAGCTAAACATTAGAAAGAACTTCCTGGCAGTTGAAGCGGTGCCTCAGTGGAACAGGCTTCCTCGGGAGGTGGGGGGCTCTCCTTCTTGGGAGGTTTTCAAGCAGAGGCTAGAGGGCCATCTGACAGCGATGCTGATTCTGTGAACTCAGGCCGACCATGAGAGGGAGGGCAGGAAGGGTTGCCTCAGTGCTTAGTTCTCGTGGCCCTTTCTTACACGCCCAGGGAAATGCTGATCGCCACTTTGGGGTCAGGAAGCAATCCTGGAGGGTTTTTTGCCATCTTCTGGCCATGGAGCAGGGGTCACTGCGAGTGTGGAGGGGGAGGCATTTGTGAATTTCCTGCCTTGTGCAGGGGGTTGGACTGGGTGACCCTGGAGGTCCCTTCCAACTCTATGATTCTGTGATTCTAAAGCTAAGAGCCACTGTCTGGCACACATACTTTTAAACCTGTCTACACAAGCTGCCCTTTTCCTGTTGGGTGTGTGTGTGTGTGAACATGCTGAGATGCCCCCTCCTCCGCTCCCATCCCCAAAACTATGCCGGATCCTTCAGGCCCTATCACACGAACACAGGCAGCTGCCTTATGCTGAATCAGAGCCTTGGTCCATCAGAATCAGGATTGCCGACTCGGACCGGCAGCAGCTCTTTCCAGGGTCTCAGGCTGAGTTGCTCCACATCACCTATTCCGTGATCTGTGTCTACCTGGAGGTGCCGGGGGATTGCCCTGGAATGCTGGACTTTCTCCATGTTACCTTCTCCCCCCCTATCCAGAGCCGTGGTCTGACCCTGCAATGGATGTACTCGGCCCGAGGCGATTATGTGCGGGCGGCTGAGAAACTGCGCAAGGAAATCTACAGCTCCGAGGAACATAACGAGAGGCTCTTGCGCATGTACAATGTCCGAATTATGCGGGTGAGGCATAGATGACCGTGTGGGGGAGGTGGGTGGATTATCAGCCACGTGTTTGCATTTCTCTATATAGCGGGGGTCCCCAGCCTTTTGCGGGCACGTGTGGAATTCTGACCGTGGGGTGGGTGCGGCCACAAAACAGCCACCGTTGGGAGGCGTGGGACCAGGCACACGATGGCTGCCGCAGCTGACCTCTGTTCACACTGTGAAGGCCCCGGCGCTGTGGTGACGGCTGCAGCCAAAACAAGGATGGTAGAAATTTGCAAAGCCAATGAAATCCCCCGTGGCCAATTTTGCTGGACAAAGGCTTCAACTGGCCCTCTCCACTTCTGGAGAACTCTTAGTAGGGGCCAGGAAAGGTGTTGGTGGCGACAGGGTACCTGCTTCCAGACATTTAGCACAGAGCAAGTGCCTCCCCACTACCCTTAAACAGGGCAATTCAATAGTGGCAAAAAGGAATTTGCATTTTGCACTTTCAAATGCAGCCTTGATACTGGAATCCAGGGCATGGATTGCAAATGCAGAATGTTAGATATTCTGGATGAATAAATCTGGAATAAAAAAGAACAGCCTTCTCCCTGTGTGTGAGCTTTCTCCCTGCACAGACATAGGTGCCACGTTTTGACTCACGGACCCTCCCTCAGAAGCCTGTGAAGAGTTATGGTTCATGGGTCTCTGTTTCTGCTCATTCTTTGCCCCAGGTGGAGTTCTACTTCCTCTCCCAGTACGTGGCAGTCACGGAAACCCCATTCCGGCACATTTTGCATGGCCACGGCCCCCACACCATGGCAGCCCTGCTGGAGCACATCAACCGTTTACGAGAGGCACCGGAGCGTTTTGACGAAGTCCTCTTCCGCCGTCAGCTGGCCCTGGTCACCTGGACGCTCCAGGGGGCGGCCAATGCCCTCAGCGGGGATGTGTGGGACATCGACACCAACTTCTGAGACCAGCCAGATACAAACCAGGATCCCCATCCCTATCAGAGCTGAAATGATTTTCAAAACTGGAACCTGCTCCTTGACATTTCAAAACAAGTCAGTACTTGACACCCGGGGGGGGGGAGGGGTATCCCAATTGACCCTCCCGGAGTCTAACAGCAGCCATAACGGGTAACATCGTGGTTCCTTTTGGGAAAGGGATGCATTTCCAGAAATCTCCTTCTTCCTCACTCTCCCACTCATCATTTCAGCACTGATCCCTTCCCTCTCCCTGATTGTCCTTCCCTTCCCAGTTTTAATTTATCAGTGGCAGTGGTCACTATAAATTGTTCACGTATTGCTATGCAATCGGATAGGCGGCTGTGGTTGTAGGTCCCCCCCCCTTTTAATTCCCCCCTTTGTGAATTTCCTCTCCCCTAATTTATCAGCTGCAGTGTCTGCTATAAATTGGATTGATTTATTGCTATGTAATAGGGCCAGATCTTGTGCTTACCCTTTATGTTTCGCAGCTCCCCCCCCCAATACCTTTTGACATGTTAACTGTACCACTGTTAAACCCCCCAACACTCAATGATTTATCAGTGACAGGGATCACTATGAATGTTTATTGCTATGCGATAGGATGAGAAAGCCACCCTACCTCGTTAATGATCACTGAAAAACTTGTTAATTTATCAGTGGCAGAGATCACTATAAATTATTTCTTGTTACAGCAGTGTCATTATTTCCCCCACCAACCCCCAGCCCGATGCCTCTTGGAATAAATATGCAGGATACATTTTCCTTTAGGTCTGAAATACTGAGTTGGATCATAGAATCATAGAGTTGGAAGGGGCCAGACGGACCATCTAGTCCAGCCCCCTGCCCAATGCAGGACCCAACTAGAAGAAGAAGAAAAGAGATTGGATTTATACCCCACCCTTCACCACCCAAAGGTGTCTCAGAGCAGTTTACAAACTCCTTTCCCTTCCCCTCCCCACAACAGATGCCCTGTGAGGCAGGTGGGGCTGAGAGAGCTCTGACAGAAACTGCTCTTTTTCAAGGACAGCTCTTATCAGAACTACGGCTTGCCCAAGGTCATCCAGCCAGGTGCAAGTGGAGGAGTGGGGAATCAAACCCAGTTCTCCCAGATTAGAGTCCGCGCACTTAACCACTACACCAAACTGGCATCTCTGACAAATATTCGTCCATCCTCTTCCTGAAAGCTGCCAGTGAAGGGGAGCTCACCACCTCCCTAGGCAGCTGATTCCAATCAGCTCTCCTGCTGGTGAAGGAAGGGTCTCATCTGACCACCAAAAAGGCAATGCTTGGGATCCCTCGGCCTGCCTGGGCAAAAGCGATGTGGAGGGGGGCGAGTCGCGAGGAAGGGAACACTGCAAGACTGAGTGAAGAAGCTGGCTGGATCTACCCCTCCCCCAGTTCTATTAACACATCCCCTCCCCTCCCGGCAAAGGGATTTCAGGAGTTAGACGAACTGTAATTTCTGGACTGCCTTCTTCCAAAATCATGAGATCCCTCCAGGTCTCCCTCCCTCTGGTCTTGCATGATCCTCCCGTCTTCCACCGTCTGCAAGGACCACATCCTCAAAGAGGTGTGTGTGTGTCTAAGCAGCTAAACTCACTCAGACGCAGGTTAGACAAAAGTGGATGTTTCTTGTATATTAAAAGACTAAAACTGAGCTGTGGCTCAGTGGCAGAGCATCTGCTTGGCATGCAGAAGGTCCCAGGTTCAATCCCCAGCACCTCCAGTTTAAAAGAAAAAAGATCTGGCAGTAGATGATGTAAAAGACCTCTGCCTAAGACCTTGGACAGCCGCTGTCAACCCGAGTAGACAGTATTGACTGTGATGGACCCAGGGTCTGGTTCCGTATAAGGCCTGTGTTCGTGTGTTCATTGTGGCTTCAGCCCATGAAAATTGCTGCTGCAATAAGTGTTGTCCCCGTCTTTGTAGTGCCACAAGACTCGCCCACTCGGGATCCCCTGGCTGGAAGATGGTACTGCTGAGCCACGGGTACCATTTGACTGGAACTGAGTGGGACAAGGCTGCTGTTCATTTTTGCTGCATCCGACTTAACCGTGTGACCCCTCTGGCGTGGGGCACAGAGCCTCCAGTCCTAGGAGCAGACCCCACACAGCTCAAAGAGGCGGGGAAGGGCCCATCTCAAGAAGAGTCAGAAAGACCCTCACAAGCCCTCTCCTCCTTTCCGACCCAAAGCAAAAACATACTTTTTCCTCCCAATCCAAATTCTTTCTTTTTAAAATTTTATTTGAAAAAAAAGAAAGAAAGAAAATTATTATTTTTCCCCCTTTCCAATTTTGGACATTTTCAAGTATTGTTTCCTTCTCTTGCAGTCCACCCTGAAATAGAAAAGGGGGTCTTCACACTTCTTCTCCCCCCACCCCATTGCTGCCACCCCCCTCTCCCCTTCTCACTCTCTCCGTCTTCTTCCCAAGGAATTACAAGAGGGGGCAGGAAGAGGAAAGGCGTGGGGGAGGATTCAAGTATAAAGCTGCCCGGAGGGGAGGGGAGGGGAGGGGAACTCCAGAAACGAAAGAAGGGAAGAGAATTTAAATTCTGTGGAAGAAAAAACGGGGAGGAGAGAGGGTCTTCTTTGAACACCGCCCTCTCGCCTGTCTCTGAGAGGCACCCCGGAACCCGGGCTCCCAACTTCCTTCTCTGCCTCCTTCTCGACCGGACTCCTCTGCCTCTGGGCCTCTCCTCTCACCTTCCTCGGGCACTGCAGGCCTCCCGGGGGGTCTCTCTGCCAGTCCCAAGAGAGAACAAGGAACCAGGTTACCTAAGGAACTCGAAGGAGGGCGTGGGTCGTCCTGGCCCCTGGCCTCTCCGGGGGCCCACGTGTCCTCTCCCCCGGCTGCGCCCGTCAGTCGTGGCTGGCCTCGCTCAAGGGCATGTGGCGGATGGTGTGGAAGATCCAGTCCATCTTGGTGGTCCAGCCGCCGTGGTGGGCCTCGTTCATCTGTTTGGTGAAGTACTCGAGCGCCTCCTGCTCGGACTTGTCCAGGGCCAGGGTCTTGCGCAGGTAGGCCACGTCGTCGAAGGACTGGAGCTCCGGCATCCCGGAGCCCAGCATCATGGAGAAGAGGTTGATGAGCAGGTTGGCGTGCTGGCGGATGGTCAGGTAGGCCTTGTAGCACATCTCCTGGAACCTGTCGGGGCGGAGAGCGGGCTGTTGGCTTGGGCGAGGAGGGGAGGCAGGCCCGTGGCCAGGACTTTTTAAATTCAGGGGGCCTTTAAGTAAGTCGGGGGGCACCCCCCCCAAGGGAGCATCACAAATAAAATAAAAAATGGGAAGCCGGGGGGCTGGGCCCCGAGATACCCACTGTAGCTACAGGCCCGAGGGAAGGCCTGCGGGCTCTGGCTCCTGGGTTTCCTGGGAAAGGAATGGAAACCCAAAGAGAGCCTAGGCAGGAAGAAGGAGGAGGAGGAGGAGATTGGATTTATACCCCACCCTTCGCTACCCAAAGGTGTCTCAGAGCGGCTTACAGACTCCTTTCCCTTCCGCTCCCCACAACAGACACCCTGTGAGGTAGGTGGGGCTGAGAGAGCTCCGACAGAAACTGCTCTTTTCCCAAGAACAGCTGTGCCAGAACTATGGCTTGCCCAAGGTCGTCCAGCCAGGTGCAAGTGGAGGAGTGGGGAATCAAACCCGGTTCTCCCAGATGGGAGCCCGCGCACTTAACCACTACAACAAACAAAACAAGAGCCTACCTCCCCTATGGCAATAAGCAGACCTTTTGAGGCACTTGGAAATCTTCGAGCTCTCGGCAAGCGGATGTGGCCCCTACAAGAGTTCTGTCCCAGTCCAGCAGCACCTTCGAGACCAGCGAGGCTTTCGGGGCCCGAGTTTCCGAGAGCCAAAGTTGCCTTCATCAGATATAAGTTGGAATGGAGACACCCCCCCCACATCCTTATCTCCCAGTCAGAAGGGGGGAGGGCTGTTGCCAAGCAGGGGGCTCAGGAGGCAGAGGTGCCAGGCGCGCTGTACTCCGCTGGATTACAGCACAGGAGAAATTCAGGGGCAGGAAGTTAGCACCTGCCATAAGATACGAATCCCGTGCAGCTGGCAAAGGGAGCCCCGTGTTCTGCCAATCGTGTTGGTTTCCAAGGGGGCTCCTGGACTCTGAGCCCACAGACCAACAGGGCTACTCTCTGGAACAATCTCGTTAAGTACAAGAACAAAGTTTGGGTCTGGTGGCACCTTAAAGACCGACGAAGTGTAATTCTGGGTACAAGCTTCCATGTGCACGAGAGCTTGTGCCCAGAATTAAGACTTTGTTTGTCTTGAAAGGGGCCCCACTGGACCCAAACGCTGTCCTGTTGCTTCAGACCAACTCGGCTGCCCACCTGAATCATCCAAGGGCGCGGCGGAGCCTGAAGGACGCAGCCGGACCGGAGGAGGACGTCACCTGTGTATCAGACCGCCTGACTGCCTAAGTGCCAGGAAAGAACAGCTAGCTGCCGGGAATGGAGCCGAAAAAGAACAGCTGAGCCGAAGCAACACCAGCCTCCACCTGGGTGCCGGTAGGCAGCCCCACCCATAGAATCAATGTGGCCTTAGTTAGGGTTCAATGTGACTAGCACCCCACATGTAAACCGCCCAGTGACCCCCACGGGGGTTAGGGCGGTATATCAAATCGAAGTAATAAATAAATAAATAAATAAATAAATATTGTGAGGCCCACGTTTTTCCTGGGGCTCAGATTCAGCCGAAAAAGTGCTGTTGGTCTGAGGCCAAAGGGGCTGTGCAGACAATGGATATTTGGGTGTTTGTCACATTACAAAACACCTTCCCTTCCTCGCCAGGGAGGGTCTCCAGCTCTGGGTTGGGGAATACCTGGAAGTTTGGGGGGTGGAGGGTGGGGTTTGGGGAAGGAAGGAACCCCAGCAGGGTATAAGGCAGTGGTGGCGAACCTATGGCACGGGTGCCAGAGGTGGCACTCAGATCTCTCTCTGTGGGCACGCGTGCCATCCCCCCAGCCAGGCCC